TTAAATTCACCCATTTCCAGTATCTTCTTCTATATTCAACTAACAGTATCTAAGAGATGAAGATAAATGGGAGCGTGAGCACCATCAGCATTAGGTTTTATTTGTTTACAGGTAAAACTTACCACCACAACTACTGTATCAACCTTTGTGGTATGATGAATCTAACTTTACCACCACAACTACGGTACCAACCTTGGTGGTACGGATGAATCTAGCTTTACCACCACAACTACGGTACCAACCTTTGTGGTACGATGAATCTAACTTTACCACCACAACTACGGTACCAACCTTTGTGGTACGATGAATCTAACTTTACCACCACAACTACGGTACCAACCTTTGTGGTACGATGAATCTAACTTTAGCACCACAACTACGGTACCAACCTTTGTGGTACGGATGAATCTAACTTTACCACTACAACCTTGGTGGTATAGATGAATCTAACTTTACCACCACAACTACTGTATCAACCTTTGTGGTACGATGAATCTAACTTTACCACCACAACTACGGTAACAACCTCGGTAGTGCGATGAATCTAACTTTACCACCACAACCTTGCTGGTACGATGAAGTTCCCCTCAGATATATTTAGTAGGTTCGGAGCTACAATTTTCATTACACATCGTGACGATCCAAGTTGTAAGATGACTAAGTATAATGAGTGAAAGGACAGGGTTGCTGATAACAAACTATACTGTAAATGTTAACCCTATCCAATCCAATCTTGGCAGTAGTTTTGATTTGAAATCCTTCAGGCCTCCAAAGAGGCCTGAAAGACAATAAGGGACGCTCAGAAACTATTGTTTCTCATCGCTCCGCTTGCTAAATTTGGTAAATTTAAAGTGGAGGAAATTTGAATCGTTGGCAGAGATTTGATTTACTAAATCGGAAATGAATGATTAAATCACGTGGTTTCTAAGTGTGGCATGGCAAGTGAGCTCAAGACGTGCGGGAAAAGTCAAAAACAGGGAGGCGGAAGGAAAGGTTGAAAACTGATTGACGTGGACTGTTGACTGAGTAAATGGACCAAGGCTGAGACGAAGGTAGCAAGTTCCTGGGTGATGGTTTATACTAAGTCATGAATGAGATATTTTATGAGTTACTGATTTTATCTTATGACGAAATGTTTTTTGTTTTTTTGTGAGATAATTAAATTTTCAATTGTACAGGAAGATAGGATTAAATATCATGATTTAATGTCCACACTTGTATTTGAAGTCTTATCTTACTTGGTATTAATTATGGTCTAACAAGAAGTTCGTTGACCCTAACCAATACGCGTAGCCTTAAGTACGCACTGTCCTCTGAGAGGAATGACAGTCTGCTGTGTTGTACTATCCTCGATTTTTATTTCAAATACAAACGATAGTCGAAAAACAAGAATAAATAAGTGAATTATTATTTATTTTTTCGCTATTCTTGTAAAGGTACAGTTGTAACTGATCATTTATGAAAGTTTGTTTTTAATTCATAAAAAAAGAGCATTCAATTAAAAAGGTCAAGTTTGCATATAAAAGTCTAACCTGTATAAAAGCCAGTGTGTGTCACGTCACGCTTGATTTCTCGAAATAGGAGGAGTCTTAAAATTCAAAATGCATTTATCCAGATAGAATAGTTCGATTACTGTCTGCTCATTACGATTTTAGTGACGGGGATGAAAAGTGGCCGTGAGGGGGATAGGTGCCATGAAACCTTATAAGTGTAGTGAGTGTTGGTATAGTGAATCTAAAATAAAGACGTGGTGTGGGATCACCTAGCCTAGAGTCAAGTTCGTAAAATTTATCATGAAAGTAAAAAATATCAATTCAATTATTAACTTAAATAGTTTCTGAATTAAGCTCTTTTCTGTTATATCACCAACGGTTTTTAACAATAAACAAACATTTTTAATCAACGGAGGCTCTAAATTAAGAAATCAACAAATATTTTCCAGTTTTATTGTCTATACATTTCATTTTATACTTTCAGTACATAGACTAACAACAATATTAGGTTATACTTTTGTTGCTAAGCAACATGACATAAAAGTCATTGTTGGAGCGTAGTGTTACCAAAACGCACTGTCTTTTCTATATATCAGAAGTTGTTAATCTAACTGATTTTAACTATTAATTATTTCCTGAATACGCCACGAATTCATTTCATGAATGATCTTAGTTTTGATTGGCTCACAAGGGAATTTACCGACGTTTGACTGCCTCGACTGCACTTTTCTGCCTCTTTGTTGGTGAAGCTTGATTTCGCAAAATATATTCATTTCAGTTAACTATGAAATATGAGGTTAGGGTATACTATGGGGTAGAGGTGGAGGTAATATTTGCCCGTCATTTTGCTTGTATAATAATAAAAAGGCAAGTTTTCATTGCTTGTATAATAATAAAAGGCAAGTTTTCATTGCTTGTATAATAATAAAAGGCAAGTTTTCATTGCTTGTATAATAATAAAAGGCAAGTTTTCATTGCTCATTATTTCATCATTCACAATACAAGACAGATTTTTCAGTTGTTTTAATGTTTTAGTATTTTACTACAACACCTTACTAAAACTGCAACCCAATTTCTATTTCTTAAAAAGCCACAATAACTGTTAGGATAAAATAAAAAGATCCTGGTATTTTGAATCCCCGGTAGCTCAGCAGTAATTTTAAAGACTCGTGGCGTTAAAATTAGGGGTTCGACTTATGCGGTGAGCACAGCGCAGATACCCCATTGTGCAGCTTTGCGCTTAGCAACGAACCCGCAGGCTAAATTAGGGTAAATTTAACCCAGAAACAATTCTGTGTGGAGAATAGCTTTCAATAATAATAATAAAAAAATAATATGTTGCAAATTATTTTATAAGTACTCGGTAACACTCTCACAGTTTAGGCCTAATGGTTAGGGCGCTGGAGTCATGCTCGCCCTTTCAGCCGTGGGGGCGTTATAATGTGTCGGGCAATCCCGTTATTCGTCGGTAAAATAGTGGCCCAATAGTTAGCGTTGGGTCAACCTGCTGCTTTCCTTCTAGTCCAAGGGTCTCCAAACCTTTTTTGGACAAGGGCCGGGAGGTAGATATTTTTAGGCTTCGCGGGCCGGAGAGGTCGTGGTAAAACTAAGTAGGGATGCATACATGATCAGATTGCCTTTTTGCTCAATTATGTTTTACTTTTTATTTTTATTTCATGAAAATTAAAAAATGATAATGATATCATTATATCATTTTATTACTTTAATGAACTGTTGGCGGGCCGGATAAAACGAAGTCGTGGGCCGTAGGTTGGAAACCCCTGCAGTTTAGTTTGTCACTGCTAAGTTAGGGACGGACGGCTAGCGCAGATAGTCCTCGTGTAGATTTGAGCGAAATTCAAAACAAAACCAACATTAGTTTTATGTTTATACGACAGCATTGCAAAGGTATATTACATATAAATACTCTCAATGAGCAATAAAACCAATGTCATGTTATAAGTACATGTGGAACTGTAAAGAGATAATGTACTTATCATAGAATATCAATGTAAGTACCTACATGGACATTGCGGGATACTCTGACCCTCAAGTAATATTTAAGTTTATTTTCACCAGAAACAGTTACCATCTACCGGGGGGGTGGGGAGGAAGAGGTCCTATGGAACCTGACCTTCCCAGATCTGTAAGACCCGAATACCAATAATGAGACGAGCGAGAGCGAACTCACAGTTTATACTCTTAATTTTATTAACATATATTTATTTTGGTCTTCAGTCACTTCAGAAGAACGATCAACAGGAAGAGTAGAAAAGATATAGATTAGGTAATCAGTGAGAAACTGGTACTTTATTCTAGTCACAGTATGACTTCATCAACGCTGTAAGTTGTTTAATATATATATATATATATATATAGAAAGAGAGAGAGAGAATGAATGAGATGTTGTTTTTCATTAGACTTGTAGAAATCTGGAAGAGTAACAAACACATAGATTAGGTAATCAGTGAGAAACTGGTACTTTATTCTAGTCATAGCATGACTTCATCAACGCTGTAAGTTGTTTAATACATATATATATATATATAGAGAGAGAGAGAGAAAGAACGAATGAGATGTTTTTTATTCGACTTGTAGAAGTTTTGTTAGTCTTTCTCACACTATTAACTCCGTTCTTACATGACAGGACAGAAACAGCATGGTCTATGTATTTACTTTCAGCTACATTGTTGCCCAACTGTGGTAAACATCCATTTGTTTCATTGTCAGATGGTTTTCGAGCTTGAACTTTATTTAGTTTAAATTCGAACAATTAAAAGTATAATCCTAATAATTTCGTGGCATTAACTTTATGAATCCGTTGTGTATAATTTTTTTTTATATTTCACATAACGTTTCCTTGAATAAAGTTCGATCCGCGATAACAAACTTCACTATTTCAATGTAGGGTCTTATAAACCTCAACTCTGGGGTCTTATAACCTCGACAGTCAGTCTTGCTATTCGGTTAACAGTATTTGTTTATTTGTGTTACTAAGCACAAAGCTGCACAAGAGCTATTTGTGCTGTATCCACCTCGAGTATCGTACCACCAATTTTTCAGCGCTTACAAATGCCACAAAGAGCCACCGGGTAATCAGTTAGGCGGCGGATGCTACTAGTTGGTTGTCTTCTACTTGGTAAGCAGTTCTGTATCGATTATGGTTTTGCCTGTGTCTAAAAATGTACCTGGCCTTACAAGTCAGTCTCTTTAGTTAACATATTACGTAAAAGCATTCATTAATTAACAATTAAGACAACAGGTGGAATCATATCTGAATAAAAAAAAAGTCCAACAAAACACATTAAAATATGCATTTGGATACTCGGTTATTATCATGTTTAATAAAAAAGAGAAACAACCAGTAATCAGTGAAGATGTTATATTATCATTATTTCATCTTACGTTTTTTGTTTTTTTTAAGGATGACTCTAGTGAACACACTAGTTTTGCTAAGACTATTATAATGTTCAATAAGATAATATTTTGAAGAAAAAAAATGCAGTAAAACAAAATTCAGAAGAAATAATAATATTACAAAAACTTCACTGGTTACTGAATGTGTTTACTCTCTAATGTTCACTAAGCCATCTTAATTTCACTCACAGACAGTTACAATAAACCAAGACAGATCACGTTGTTAGTTCTGGGACACCTAGTTCAACAATGTATAATTCAATTCAAACTTAATTCACAATGATAAATATTCGTCAAAACAGAGCTTATGTAAATCATTTGTATCTACTGATTACATAAAATTTGTTCGTGTTTCATATTTTCTTGATGAAATGTTCCGGATCCATACAGCATACCAGCCCCCAAAACATCAATGACAGAATATGAAAGATACGCGATGTGTAGACCAGTATCCAGTGAAACTCTGGGTGATGAGCAGACAGAGTCGCAGGCAACATATAGAAGTCCATGGTTAAGTAGATCATGCAACGAATTGATTCCAGTAGTGGAGCCCGTGGACTGTAAGGAAAACACAAGTGTCAACAATGTCAACAATAAGAACATGACTACCACACGCCTCTTTCTCGAACTTTCTATGTCGTTCTTACGTCATTCGGAAATAGCTTCGAAAATGGTATCTGTCGCCGGTTTTCAGCAAAATTTTTAAGACGTAAACCTGCAGGTAATTAGATTACGAAACAGTGCAACACAACAAGAATGTTTGTAACACTGTTTATAACTGATAATTAGAAAGTAGTGGTCATATTATTTAGACTGGTTTACTTGGCATGGCTGATCCAGTCTGAAAAGTAAAATTGTAAAAATCTTGGTCCGATATCCACTATTGCTCGGAGTAAAATTTTTTTTATCTATTAATTTTTTTTGGGGGGGGGGATACTTTGGCTACATAGATTTTTTTCTAATAATTATTTAAAAAGCAATGAAAAGAGATCGTTAGACTTTTATAAATGATATATAAACGAAGATTAACATGAATATGCATTACAAACTAATTTAATTGTTCGTATACATGTTTCGAATTTTGAAAGATGACTGTTTTGAATTCATTCGTACAGTAAAAATAATTCACATGGAAACGTTTTCCGAGCAGTCCGGTTTTACTGCGAAAAACATTTTTTTCTCCTATGTTTTTTACATTGTTACAAATTATGCCTTTTTCAACTTGTTTGTTACAGATTTCGCGCAAAGCTACACGAGGGCTATCTGCGCTAGCCGTCCCTAATTTAGCACCCACCGCCAACCGCCAACTCTTGGGCTACTCTTTTACCAACGAATAGTGGGATTGACCGTCACATTATAACGCCCCCACGGCTGAAAGGGCGAGTATGTTTGGTGCGACGGGGATTCGAACCCTCGACCCACAGATTGCGACTCGAGTGCCCTAACCACCTGGCCATGCCGGGCCATTTTTTTTCCAACTTCCTTTCGTCATTGTGTGATATTCAGTGAAACGTTTTGAAAGAAAAGGTGCACTTAGTGATGTCAAGGTTCAAAGAAATGTAGTTTTGCAGCAAATCTAAAAATCACTAATTATTCTGGCATAAGACGAAGAAAACCAAAAAAAAATATTATACCAGAAATTGGACTTTCTTCTTCAAAAATAACTCAAAAATTCAGATGAAGTAAGGATAATCAACAGAATTCTCATAAAGTATTTTTTATAGGTTTTAGGTTCATGTAATCAGGCAGAAATGGTGCTCAGTAACATTAATATCACAAAGGAAAGACAAGTATCTAAATCCTTTACTCCATTTACAAGAGCTGAGTCCATGAATTGGAGCATACTCTTTGGTGAATTAAATTAAGTATACTATCATTTCTTGTGAGCAGAAACGAGTTTTTTTTGTAACGGTATAAGTAAATTACGTTTTAAAATTGCATTTATAGTATTTAATAATTAACTTGAACAATTAAAAAGACAAATAAATAAAAGTATTTACCTGATTTCTAAAAGTATGGTCATGACGGTCAAACCATAAACCAAGTAGGCAATGTCGCAAGTTAAAATGAACGGAGAAAACTCCTGTAAAGGAAATATATACATATTTAATGGGATTTTATTAATATAGTTGAAATACGTTGTCTCCACGCCATGTTAGTCCTAACTATGTAGATACCTCTCCCGCTAGGATAAATTCAATATTGTAATTTGCACTGTAATTTCTTTTGTCTGTGCTGCATTTGCAACTCTTATTTGTTTTGGACCTTGTTTTTAAACTTATGTGAAAGTGCCTGTATATTTCTAAGAAATATAAACACATTTTTGTTTATTATCAAGTAAAAAAGAAGAACAAAATATGATACTTTAAACTCAAAATGGAGGAGAGGCTTGTTTATATACAACAAACACTACGACAAAGCTGCTTGATTTTGAAAAAAAACAAAAAAACAGCTAAGTCCAAAAATTAACTAAAATATTTGTCAATATATAAAATCCATTATTATAAATAAATATGATTTGGTATTTCCTTCAAACTAATAAAACCAATAACCCGTGTGTGTTTTTCATGTTCGTTATGTTGTCATTTTGCACTGTCTAAAAAAAACCTTCCCATTT